GAAAACAGATCCTAGTGTATAAAATGTGAGGAGCTTTGTTCTGAATTTGTACTGTTCACCAGGATGTGCCACAAGGTTCTGTTTTGGACCCCCTTTATTTATCTTGTACATCAACAATGTTGAACCAAATCTCTCTGATGCTAATATGCATTTTATACTGATGATAACATTATTTATTGCTTTGGTTCATCTCTTGAACAAGCTATTTATTCCCTTCGGAAAGCCTTACAGTTTTCATTTATTAATCTTGAATTATTTCTTAATGCTGACATAAGAAAATGTATGTTTTCAAATAGTGGTGTCCACTCTGGAGGGGAATGTCATTGAGGTGAAACATGAATATAAATACCTTGGAATTGTAATTGATGACTCCTCACCTTCAAACCTTTTATTGATAAACTTGTTAAGAATTTAAAAGTTAAACTGGGCTTCTTCTTTCGTAATAAGACATGTTTTTCTTTTAGAGTAAAAAAGCGCCTTGTCTCTGCCACGTTTTTATCGCTCTTAGATTATGGTTAGCCTCGTGAGACCATCCTGATCTCACGAGCTTTCAAGGTTTCACTCACAGATCAGTCTGGCTACTTTCCGTTAAAGAAAATTTGGAGCCGTTCACCAAACAAACGTCCAGTCAGCGTTGGCTTTGAGGCGGATTGAGGTGTGACGCAACGAGAAGCGCGACAGTTCAGTCTAAAGAACATGGCGGCTTCAGCCGATGAAACTAGCGTTAGCGTGGCTATCGAGCAAGTTTTATCGGAATTACGGAGTATTTCTTCACTGAAAGAAGAGCAAAACACTGCTCTGGAGGCTTTTCTCAGAGGAAAAGATGTTTTTGCTCTTCTCCCGACTGGTTTCAGCAAGAGTTTGATCTATCAATTGTCTCCTCTTCGTCGTCACTCGGTTAGTACATCATATGCTTCGTTGATCTGATTGGTTTATTTGGCCCGTCTATCACCAACATAGACCAATCAGCTAACCAGTATTTTCGCCCCTTCCCAAAATTACTTCAACGGAAGGTTTCCAGATGGATATGCGGAGCAAATCCATCTGGGGGAGTCAGGTTAAATTATGGTGACCTTTTTTTATAAAAATGCTACTTCTTCATGTCTTCAAATGTTGGACACTGTTTACCACGCTTCATTAAGGTTCATCACAAATGTAGAGCCATGACGCATCACTGTGACCTCAGGTGGGATGGCCTTCCCTCTCTACGAGAAGGCAGTGTCATTGGTACACTTTTATTTCCAAGGCCCTTGTTGGATTACTGCCCTCTTACATTTGCACCTTACTTACACAGAAAAGCAAGGCTTCTTCTGCCCTGAGATCCAACGATCAGCTGTTGCTCACTGTTCCTTTTGCCCGCACACAACTAGGGAAGGAAGCCTTTAGCTACGCAGCTCCTTGTGTGTGGAATTTATTACAAAAAAGCTGGAAGTTGACTGAGTTTTTAATCTTTAAATAATTTTAAGTTGAAAGTGAAATAATTTGAAGCAGCCTCAATGATCTGTATTTGTTTAAAAAAAAAAAGTTTTGTTTAAAAAAAATAAATATATATTAGCGTAATTACTCCTGCCGTTCTGGTGTCTGATCCCCTGAGGTGCCTCCTGTCCGCTGCAGCATGCTCGCTCAGTTGAACAGACACACCTTGTGATCTGGTTTGTCTGTCTTGTCTCTGACTGCTGCCTTTTTTTGTTCCCATCAGAACTTCATCACAGCGGACGAGCTGAGGCGGGAGCTCCCCCCGGACCAGGCAGAGTACTGCATCGCTCGCATGGCTCCCTACGCCGGGCCCGACGCCGTCCCTGGCGCCCTGGACTACATGTCCTTCTCCACTGCCCTGTACGGAGAGAGCGACCTGTAGAAAAGCACCGGGGGAGGGGGGGCTAGAAGATGGGGGGGCGTCTAGTGTTTCTGTGCGGTGCTCCTGAATGGGCCGGTTTGAGAACCAGAATATTTTTATGACCCTCAGCTTGTAGATTGAACTGTTGGTCCTGAAGGTTAAACTGAACAGGCACATCCAGGGGCAGCACTACGGGTCCTTGGCTTCAGCCTCTGTTTTGTTTTTTGTGGGGTCAACCCGGGAGGAGGGGGCAGCAGTTTGGACCGGGCTGGGGGTCACGCAAGCTAATCTGATACTTATGCTAATTTTGTTTATTTTATTATAATTTTTTTTTGTTTGTTTGTTTTTTTTTTCCTTGCCAGGGGTTAGATGGGCGGGGGGGTTAGGGGGCGGGGTTTGATGTGGCAGCTGGCAAGATCTGTGTATTAGATCCTAGAGAGATATATGCCTGGGGAGGGTTTGCTGGAAGAGGCGACCTGAACAAACATTCCCAGTTTGAGGAACAGGCCGCAGCTTTCAGTGAATTTTGTTTATAAAAGAGGAAAGATCAAATTTAAAGGGCCGGTGACACATGCAGCAGTTCCATCGGTTTCTATCAGCAAACCTGTTTGATCTTCTGGGTGTTTTTTTTTTTTTTTTTTTTGTTTTTTTTCCTATTTAAGGAAGGAGAGGAAACCACTTGTGGAAAAGCAGATCATTACTTGTTCCTGCTCATCGATCTGAATACAGAAAATTATCTCTGAAATTACTGGATTCCTATCTTCCCACTGCGGAGAAAAATCTGCCCTCTGTCTCTCCTCCTTTGCCCCCATCTTCCCTCCCCCAACCTGTCTGAAGAGGAATACTGATTCAGAGGAGGGGAGTAGTTGTTTGAATATTCCCATCATGTTCAAATAACCAGAATTATTAGAAAACAGAAACTATGCAATCATATTGTGATCGACCTTCAACAGGTTTCCGGCTAAATTAGAGTAATTTCTGCCATTGATGAGGAAGGGGGGGCAGAAGGGGGGACGGATGAAACCCTGTTAGGATAGTATGGAGAGGAATGAACTCTGAAATGATTATTTTTTTCTTTTTTTGTACTCTTTAATATCAAACCTTATCTGCTGTACTGGAAACTGCATCGCCTTCTGTCTAAAGATACATGACTTTCACAAAGCACACATAAAAGTTTCCTTACAAAACACCTCGACTCGTCTGATGCTTTCACTCTGGAGCCTCTGACCTGTAATACACATTCTTTCCACATCTACAAAAACTTGAATAATAAAGTATTTTTGTTGGATTTAGACTTCATATTTTGTCAAAGTTGAAATCACATAGCAGTTGATTCTGTTAATCCGAAACTTTTAAACTTTTCTACAAATTATGAAATCTGACATCTGAACTATCAAAATTAAGAAAATGCAAACGAAGACAGTTACATCCATTGGGGCTGAATTAACTTGAAAAAGTATCTAATTTTGGGGGTATTTAGTAGGGCTGGGTATTTTCGCCAAAGTCCTGAATCGATTGGATTTTGATTCGTACAGTTCTAAATCGATTAACTTCAATTCAATCTGTTTTTACAGCAATGAAAGTGGTTAAACTGTGTTTCAAAAATACTCATGTATTTTAATTTTTCTTGTCACATTAAACACAAAGCGCAAACTTGTTAATCAGACAGTTTAAACTTAAGATGTGAACATAACTGTCTGTTTTCACTTGTTTGTGAAAAGTGAAAAAACGAAACCTCACTTAAGCAAGCGGACGTGAAACGGCGGGGACACAGCAGACATGCATGAGCTGCATTATCTTCAATGCACAAACCATATTTGCAGCGTTGTCTCTAACAACTACAGGGTGTTTGCTGCTCAACCCCCATTTGTTAATGTCCTTCAGTCAACCTATTTGCTATATTAGCAGCTGTCTGGCTTGAAGTAAGTTTGAGTGCATCTTTCCTGCTCATTTGAATCTGAGCGTGATGAGGGTCACTATAAAACTAATCTATCTCATTCCCTAGACATCGATTTTGCAAAAATGTAAAGGAATCAATTCAAAATCTATTAAATCGATTTTTGTTTTTTTTTAACCCAGCCCTAGTATTAAAGTGGTTAAAGTTAAAAAAAAAAATAAACAGCAACTGTAAAACCTTTATTTTTGGAGAAATTGACTGTGTTTATCTGAATTTTGCTATTTTTTTTTTTTTTTTTTTTATCAAGCTCTTCTAATGGAATAATTTTAAAATGTGCAATAGACTGGCTGCTGGAAGCAAGCCTGCTGGTTATATTTAACTTTAGATTAGACCACATCAATAAAAGGTCAATAACCAATAATGATCATTCTGGGCCTTAAAACTGCCCAAATTTCCCACTTGGGGTTTTTACAGTACCGGTAATTTATATCCTTTATTTAAACATATGACCATAAGTTGCTGTTTCTATCAATTCCTAATTAAACTGGGTTTGCTTGTTGGATGATTTACAGATTTGGCTGAAGGATTTTTAACCAGCGATCCGTCATGCAGAGCATAGCTATTGTACAGACTGGCCCTGCTTTGTCATTTGATTTAAGGAGTTTTGGGTTTTTAGCCGAATAGCTAAAAGAGTTCTGTTGGAAGATGCAGAGGTTTATCAGTCCACCGTCTAAAAAAAATCTAAATATCAAAGCACTGGGACAAACTTACTGAAGTTATTTAATCTCCACAAGAAACAGAACTGATTCTGGTGTTTTTAGTTCAGGATTTAGTTTTCTTTTCCAAAGCCAGAATAAGCAGCTATCAGAACATTAAACATTTATATTTTCCTTAAATCCAATTCCTCCAGCACCATTTGTCATCGCACAGAAATCCGGAGCTGTACAATTGGGAAGATGTTGATGTATCTTGAATTAAAAAATAAATCAAGCTTTAAGATCTTTGTAATAAAGAAATGAATGGGACACTATAATTTAAAATCTTTAGTAAATGTATTTATTGAAATATTCTTGCCATACATCAAACATTAGCGCAGAAATCAAAGAACTAAGTGTAAATGTAGCTTTCAATAACATGGAGCTTAATCATGAAATCCAAATTAAACAGCCCATCTGGAGCTGCTGCTTGAACCTGGATATGCACGTCCCTGATCCTGTTCCCATGGTTACAGCTGGACTCTTTTGTCCAGCAATTTGGGTAGCACAGTGGCGATTCTGGGTAGCACAGTGGCGATTCTAAAAAATAAAAACGATAACATGGCGCAAAAAAGCAAAGTAGATTGTGGTGAATCCGTCCAGCTGGACCAGGTCTGCTCTAGTTGTACATCGTCATGTGGAGCCACTGGAACCAAACGGAGAAGAAGAAACGAGATGAATGGGAAAGAAAGCTCAAACAGGTCAGCAGAAGCTTTTTAATAAAATAACTTAAATTCTAATAATAAAATCTTAAAAATATATTTTTTGTGGCTTTTTTGAGGCCCTGTTTATTAGCCCGTAAAACTGTAAAGTAGCATCAATAAAGCTGACGACATGACAATTTATTTAAAGTTGTTACCAATTCTTTATATAGAACCAAACCAAAATGCAGAAACTGGAAAAGCTTAACCTTACCCATGAATAATCAGCTCTAGAAACCACCTCTGCAGCAGTAACTCTATAGAAATGGATCCTAGGCTCAAGCCGTTTCTGTTCATACCTGGCTGTAGCTGATGGTTATGGTTCCCTGTCCCATCATGTCGTACGCTTGAAATTTGTCTGTAGAATAAAGAAAGCTGTTACATACGAGTTCCCTGTTGACAACCCTTATTAGAGGTGCTAGTTGATTTATTAAAATCAATAAATCTTCACTTAAAGGATTAACTAATCTCTTTATTAGGCCCAGTAAGATGCAACCGTTTACAAAGTTTATGCAGCAACACATTTTGCGTTGTTAGATTATTTAAATAATCATATATTTCATCTAAAAAAAAGTTTATTTTACAAAGGAAATGTTTACTGTTTTTTTTTGTTTTTTACAAAACCACATGATTTAAATTCCCCAAATCAGCTGAAAGAGTTGGGCTAACATCAAATCTATTTCTTTTAAAGACAGATGTTTTCTTGTGTTATTGTTTTATTCATAGAAACGGAGTGCTTTTTTTCTTCTTCAAATATCCATTTACAAAACTTGTTCTTTGATTGCAGAAATAATAGACCAAATTCCCACATTACAGAGAAGAGCTCAGAAAGATAAATCATCAGTGAACTAAAACCACCTTTTTTAATAAGAGCTCTTTTTTTCAATTCTGGGAAATATTGATCCACTGAGCAAATATTTCACTTTAACAAAGCTACATTCTCTACTAAAAACATCACAGTAAGCGAAATATCTCAATTTTAATCACAGTTTTTGCCCCAATCCTCTGTCATTGTCTGACCAATTCGCATTGACCTGCAGTGAATTGTGGGAAATGGAGGATTTGTGGATGTTTTTTAGCATTTAGTGTTGTTAAACTTGATATCTGCTGGGATGGTCAACATTTCCTGACCTAAGGATGTCCAAAAATGTACATCGTACCTCAGATTCACTTCTATCTAAGAAAACTAAAAGGAAAGACTGCTTTATTTGCTCTAGTTCAGGGGTTTTCAAAGTTTTACGGGCCAAGGACCCCCTGATTTTATACTATATTGTATGGAATTATGTTATATCAAACTGGTCCCATAGTCACTCTATTATAGATGGAGTAATGTAAGGACAGTAATTTCTCCCTGGGATTATTAAAGTATGTCTGATTCTGACTCCTGGTTGATGGGACAGGTGTGAATGAAACGGTGCCCAGCTTGAAAGAGCTGCTGTGTGTCGCTGAATGTGTGCATTGATGACTGAAAGACATCTTCTGCCTCCATTTATCTGTTTACTACAGTATGTTGTCATGTTATGGATTTAAAGACATTTCAATTAGTGGAAAAAATTGCAGTCTAATCAAAAAAAAAAAAAAAAAGTCTAATCAACCAAACTTTTCATGACCCCCATGCAGTACCTCTGTGGACCCCCTAGGGTCCGCGGACCTCCTGTTGAAGACGTCAGCTCTAGTTGAACCAACAGCCTCAAGGCTAACATAATATATAGTGATGACAGCTGTGACTAATTCAAAGCTCTAACAGGAAGCATTCGTCACATTGGATCAGTTTGATCCACAAGTTAATATCCAGTATATCAGAGAGATTTGGATTTAATAATGACAGTATTCTGTTATGAAGGAACAAAGATGGCATTCTGGAAATCTCTGAAAAGCCTTCAGATTATTCCCCTCCTCTCCTCTAAGGGAAGTCTCCTTACGGATCATGGTCTCCAGCTTCATGAGCAGGTACAGAAAGCCGGGGTAGCTGATGGTCAGGTCTGGCTCTGTGTATCTCAGTCCTACTAGCTGTAACAACAGATCGTTCACCGTGATGCCTGCAGCAGACACAGAACGAGGACGGGTCAGTGACACGTTCAGGAAGATTCAGATGAAACCGTCATTTTATCTTTCTGAGGCAGGCCCATTTCCATAGTTCTGTTCTTTTTTTTAACAAATTATTACAAATTGCATTCTTTACAAATTACATTTTACAGACCAAATTTTTTTCACTTCTGGGGGCGGGATTTCCTCTGGAGTGATGAGCAGAGAGGCATTTCTATTGGTCTGCTTGGGTGTTAGCAACACTTGTTGGTAAATGTGCAGCTCCAGAGGAGGAGTTTTATTTTATTTTATTAAAAAATAAAAATAAATCTGACTTTTTATTTTTTTTTAAGCCAAAGAAAACTGCATTTATCTCAAAGCCTTTATTTGATTAAAACGTTTTTCAGAAGTTGCAACAACGGAGCAAAATTCACTCCATAAATCTGCTTTTGTGGATTCAGTTGTTAAAAGTTACAGACTGCCCCCTGCTGGTCATATTTATACACTTGTAGGGGAAAATGCTTAAATATGTATTTCTGTAGCTGCATACTGCCTACCTGCTGCCTTCAGGGCAGGCTCCACCTCTCGGTACTCAAGGTGATGAGTTTTATTTGTGTCATAGACCAGGAAGATATCCTGGAAACAAAGGAAAAGATAACAGAACAGTTATAAGCTGAATATCAGAACCATCTTACAATGAACTCATGCTCCAAAGTTTTCCTTTAAAGTAGTTGCTCCAAGTCATTCCCACTAGTTTTTAATTTACTTCTAATCTATTGTTGCCTGCACCCTTATAAAGACTCAAAAATATCTGCAGCCATGTTATTAATGTTGTCATAGATGTGCTAGTGTTGCTATGGTTACCGTCCACTTCCTGATTTTGTTCCACAGAGTCTCAAAGTCATCCCAGTCCAGTCGAGCGATGCCATGGCTCTGCAGAAAGCACTGAGGTCAAGGAAGAAAAAAAAAAAGTGGAAGGCCAGCACATAAAAGATCCCAGCAGTCCTTGAACACAACACGACCTGATTCCAAACAATTTAAGCTGAAATATATTTCTCATTTTTGGATTATTGGAGTTAAAGGCTTTCTCCTGAAGGATACGTCCATCAGGACCACCAGGCTCTTGCAGTGCTCCAAAGAAAGGTATTTCTCACTTCCGGCCAACACTAATGACATGAGAGATCATTAAAAAGGCTTATATTTAACAATCATGTGGAAATAAAAGATCAGGGCAGCACAGACCTCCTCCCTGTAAGGCCTCGGACAGGAGGCGGTGGAGGTTCAGAGGTTTGCAGGATCCTTTCTGAAGACAGGAAACGAGGAAGAACTTAGATCACAGCAGGCCACACAGTGAAAGCCTTCATCTATATTAAACATTCCCAAACTCCCTCTAGTCTGTGTTTAACCCAGTAATTCCGCAGAACCAGCAGATTTTATGGTTGTTTTTCCTCCAATTTAGAGAAAAATCTCTTCCGGCCTGGAAGACATTCTTTAGGTAAATCTCACCTTGTCGCTATGTTTGTTAAAGAGCTGTCTGATGGATACGAGTGAAGGCAGCGCGGCCTGGTGAGGATAAGAAGGCTGCAGGGAAAAATACCAGAAAACACTTTTACGCTTATGCCTTTAATAATAAGATTTCATAAATATTTTAATGTATTTTGTCACAACTGAACAAAAATGTATAGATAAATCTGCAGTAACACATGCTTTTTTGCAACGGCAGAATGGATGTGGCAAGAATTTTAATAAACAGGTTTTTCTTCTGTATGTTTTATTAATTATCCTCATTTTTACACCAAACGTTTTTAGTGATTGTGAAAGATGAGGTGTTGAAAGAGTGGCAGAGGGGCTATTTGAAGTGCCTCTTTTTTTATTTGCACTGGTCGCCTTTATCTTAAAAGGAAATGGTGTGACAGAAGAGGTAAAGAGCTGCAGCAAAGTGGAAAACTTAAAGCATGGGTTGCACATATACCGGTATAAAGAGTAGACCCCGCATCGACCGCTATCACCTATAGGGGCTGACGAGATTTAGGGGAGCCATCTTGGGGTGGTCGACTGCTCTCATTATTTAATAATGTATTTATTAATCATTATTATTTATTATTATGCTCCTTCAGCCGCTCTGCACCCCAGCTCTGGATCTCACTCCCTCCCGACCTCCGCAGTATTGACTCTCTCCCCTTATTCAAAGCCAGACTCAAAACCCATCTGTTCCAGCTCGCTTATCTGTGAATATACTGCTCTTTTCCCTATCCATGATTGTTTTTTTTGTTTTTTATGTTCCTGTATCTGTATTTTGTATTTTCATCTCTTTTTATTTATTTATTTATTTTTTTGTATTATTTGTAAAGTGACCTTGAGTGTCAAGAAAGGCGCTGTTAAATAAAATGTATTATTATTATTATTAAAGTTTTTAAAAAGAAAGGTTTGTCGTCTGTATGGTCCATTCATTGTAATTTCCACAACAACCAGTATTTTCCACGACGCCATGTAATTTCCACCACACCATTTGTTTTTAAATAAATTGTTGCAAAATTCTAATCACTCATTAAAAGCTTTTACATAACTGAAGAGATAATGTTCCACTTAACATAAGATTTGCATCTTGTCCTCATCACAATTAATTTACCTAATCCATAAATGTATGTGTTTAACAATAAAGGCATAAACAGTTAAAACTAATTGTTCTTTCAGTAAAAAAAAAAATTATGTGTATCATAGTATTTTAGAATAAATGACAAATATTTCAATGTGATGGAAATTATATTTGTGCCAGCCGAGTTGGGAAAGCTGTTAAAAAACACCAATTTATCTTTAAAAAAAAAATCAGTGTGTTTTCTTATGAAACTTCAAACTAGACTAGTTATGCTAACCGATTACATTGTGAGAATTTATATTTTATTATACTTTTTCTCTTCAAGTTTGCAAGGCCCATAGTGCCCGTTGTTAAGAAAAAGGACTGTTTTGCAGAGCTTTTTTCTTGTTTTCCCCTTGTGGAGTCCAAGAGTGGTGACTTTAGCAATGTGGTGACAAACTTGTGGAAAGTTATCCCTCGAGCCCTGATGTCAATAGTCCTTCAAATTCAAACAATAAAAAAGACACAGTGCTGAGGCATCCTTCATCTGACCAGCTTAAACCAGCAGGATAGGAATGGCCGCCGTAATTCCTGTGCCAGGACCTTCAATGCGGGGTCTACTCTTTATGTATGTCTATGGGGTTGCATGCTCTATCCCTGCACCTCTGCTATATCCAAACTATTTATCTTCAATAATCCATGTTTTCTTCCTTCTCCTAATTTAATGTTAAATAAAATAACATCTATTGAATACTTTTACATACATTTCATATAACAATCATTGGTTAAAAAAATCTATTAATTCTGACAAATACAGCCATGTTCCAATTTCTTTGGACAAAATACAAAGTTTAAATTTTAAGACAGTTTTTACAGGCTGGAAATAAAATTTGAGGTTCTTGGCTGAACCATCTATACCCTCCCTACCATTTCTTTCTATTATTTAAAAAAAAAAACTTTTATTATTAAACTAACATTGAATTTGGGTTACTTTTTATATCTGAAATGTGTTTAGCAAACATCCATGATTTTACTGACCGGGGGTCTTAGTCTATTTCAAATCGCAAGATATGACAACAGATGTAATGATAAGAGATGAAATTGTCTGTTACCTCTTTTATCAAGGAGACATCATGTGGTGTTGGTTTTTGAGCTGGACTGGAAGAAAATGATTTAAAACAATAAAACAAACCATGGTAAAAACAGACAGTTTAGTTACTGGGTTTCACGTTGTAGTATATAGAAAACTAAATTCTTAGAAATATATAAATCGAAAACACTTATGAATGTTAATGATGCTAAAGAATATATTAAGCTAAAATTGTGGAAAAAAACACAACCCATCATTCAATAGATTTTCTCTGAAAGGCTGTAGTTTACTGGTTTATTCCATTCAGTGCCTGAAAAACAAGCCCAAATCATCACCCCTCCAACACCGTGCTTAATAGGTGCTTGTGCTGATAAGCTTGGTTCTCTCCAAAGATCAACCTGTGGATTCTCCCTAGACATCTGTGCCTCAGAATCAGCTTTTTAAATAAAGTGTTTCGCCATAAAAAAATAAAATAATGGTGGATTTTCTTTAACCCATCCCATCTTTGTACAGACCTCTTCTACGGATCAGGAGCTTTACCCTTCTAACTGAGGCCTGTAAAATCTGATCTTTAACTCATTTTTAAAGGAGCTAGAAGAGTCTCAGCATTAAACACACATATGTGATCCGCACTCGCACATAATGATAACATTTTCACATTCACTAGAGAAGATTCCCTTAAGTATTTTATGATGCATACACAATTATATCCTGATTTGTAAACTACCAGTGGTTTTTGAAGTTCCCTGCATTTATGTCTAGACTTTTGTGGCTCACCTGACTTGTTATATAAATGTATGGAGTGATTTTTCTGCCAAAATGTTGCGTACAAAACTGCATGTTGCAAATGCATAAAGCATGTTTCACACAAATGAATCTTATCACTCACAAATAAACATGTTGCACTCAAATAAATCTTATTGTTCACAAATAAAACTTGTGTTACAGACTCTCATCTAATGTCACACACAAATAAAACTTTTTTTCAAACTGTCCTTAAATGTTGCACAAACACAAAATTTGTTTTACAAACCGGAGTGATAAGATTCGTTTGTGTGAAACATGCTTTATCCATTTGCAACATGCTTTATGTGTGTGCGCAACATGAATTTTTTTTACACAATGTTTTGGCAGAAAAATCACTCCATAAAAATGCGTCGTTTTTTTTTTTAAACAAGGTATGACTTTCAAACAATTAGATGGCTCCATTGTTTTAGCCAATCACAGGATCAAATATGTGGGCAGTGATTTTGTTTGATGGAAGAGTAGGGTATTGCTGCAACAAACCGACCACCTGGCATATTTGGAAATGTGACATTTGCACTCCAGAAATGAATGGGGCACTAGTTCCTTTTCCAGCTACGGAGCCCCTAAAGGGACATGGAGGAAAAAATAAACTTTGCGAGATCCCACAATACTTTTGCGAGATCTCGCAAAACGTTTTGCCATGTCAGCGAACCAGAAGTAAAACAAACACACAACAGTGGAGGTGCAAAGTGTACTGCTATGGGAGGATAATACGCCCATGTGTCAGCTACAACCATGGAGGATGATTTGGAGAGGTTCTTAATTTATAGAGAAGTCCCAAAACACGACATTACACGAATTAAGAGAGACCAGGTCAGTATGCAATACTACGGAGCCCCTAAAGGGACATGGAGGGAAAAAACAAACTTTTGCGAGATCCCGCAAAAGTATTGCGGGATCTTGCAAAAGTTCTTTTTTTCCCCTCCATGTCCCTTTAGGGGCTCCATATCCAGCTGCCATTTGTCACGTTTAGTGGGTTTTTTCTTTTTTATATAAATACTTTTAAAATACACAACAGGCCCACTCTTAAAAAAAAGGAAATAATTAAAAAAAAGAGTGCAGTGGAAACAAAGCTTTTTTTTCAATCCAAGACAGAAAAAATGTTGATTAAGAAAGAGGCTCTTTAGAGGTTTGTGGATGATTTTTAAAAAGACATTTTAATGTAAAGAATTGTTAAATAAATCATTTCTCATTAGTTTTACTCATGTAGCTTCCCCCCACTTTTCCTCTACTCTGCTCATCATCTGGCCTCACCAATTGGCCTCCAGTGGCAATTCTGTCCACCTCTGGTGACATCTGCTGGGGATCAGGCTCAGCTCTACTTCCATGACCATCCAAACCCCCGGCAGAGAGCGAGCCAGAGTGGGACACAGGCTGCAGACTGAACCCCACTCTGGAGATCTAACAGTAGGAGATGCAAAGAGGTCCTACTATTCAAGTAATCTTATAACAAAATCATTACCAACACAGGGTATGTTCCTCTGATTTCAAGTCATAGCTTGTTAAAAGAAATGCATTTGTACATCGAGTCACGTCAGTGGAGTCTCAAAAAGTCACACCCAAATGAAGTGAAGTTCAAAGACGACTGGTAATTTATAAATCCAGAAATAATTGTGTATGCACCACAAATACTTCAGTGAATCTTGTCTTTTGAATGTATAAATGTCATGCTATTATTTGAATCACTATGTGCATCTGTGAATCATATCCTTTGCATACATTTAAAAATAAGTGCAATAATCTACCAATGCAGTGAAACATTTGCTCTTTGAAAGGCTTCTTTAAATCTTGCTATCAATTCTCAAAACAAGAACAGAAAGACTTTCTGACTAGATCTAAGATAGTGAGACTTGCTAACACGGATAGTCTTTGCAGTACAGTCCCTTATGTCAGCTTAAATCATCATAAGAAACTATTTTGGTATTAGACTCAGAATAAATTATCTAAAGAAAGTAAAAATATCTTAAAATGCCTTTTAACTGAGCAGGGAAATAAGATAATGAGTATTTTTGCCCTTTAGGATAATTACATATTTTCTACTTAAGATCTACTAAAAAAGATAGAATATATTTTTTCTAATTTAAATGTAAATAATTCATTTAGTTAATCTTCTTGTCCACCTACTCAAGTCAAGGGAAAATGCACCTTTTTCAAGAAAAATACTGGGGCGCTGGTCCCTGTTGGGCCGTGTCTATAATCATCTATGGACACGGCAATAAGCTCCACGGCAACAAACAGCAAAAACTCCTGCTTTTACAGAGGAAAACATACCAATAAGCACCTGATGCTAAGTAGTTTTTACACAAAGGTTTTCCACACTGGCTTCATTTTTTCGTTTAACAGATAAATCCAGGACTTAAATTCCGGGATGCTGAACACTAGAGGTTCAAGACCTGCAAACACCAGATGATTACATTTTATCCTGGTGCACGGAGAACTTTCTTTTTACTCTGATTAAAAATATGAAAAGCTTTTGGAAAGAGGAAGCTTTACTCACGTGGCAGAGTTACCAGGCTCTGTCAGCACCCTCAGCAGGAACTCTCCATGCTGATTGGGCTCGCTGGTTGAAGGGATGATGATGTAACGACCCGGATGGAGTGAGCTGTGGATGATCACCTCCCGACCTGACGAGTAGTGGTTGTAGCAGATTGGAGGGATTTTAAGCAGATCTTCAGATGACAGGAAGGTGGTCTTGGGATGCGCCTGGAGAGGTAAAAATCCAGTCTGAGCTGCTTATAATTGTTTTTTTTTTTTTGTTTTTTTTACCAATTTACAACCTTTCTGTCATATTTATTATAGGCTGGTTCACACAGCATCATAATCATTCAGATTTCTCCCCAGGGAAAATTATTCTACTCTGTGTGCTGGTGAAGATTCTCAGTCATCCAGGTCAAAGCCATAGTTACAAGGCTTTGTTGGGCTACTGAATAAAACCTTGAATTCAATGCTATTCCTGACATTGTAATGTTAGGGGTTTGGTTAGTATTAATGTATCACCAATGCCATATTTAGGCCACGGTACTGATACCTGGCTGTACAGTATCGACTGATACTGATACCGATATCATACTGATACCATCTGTTTGAATTTGATGTGTGTGTATATTTGAAGAACTGCATACTACTTGAATGTAAAATAATTGCCATCATGGCTTTGTCAAGCTGCTGCCTACCTTTGTTAAGCAGGAAAAAGACTACCATAATACAAAGTGAATCCAGTAGAACTTTCTATTCGCTGCCCTATTTGTTGGTACTCGCCGATACCGATACCACCATTTTAGTGCTGGATCGGGGCCCCGCCCAATACTGGTAACGGTGCAACACTAGTTAGTATGGAGGGAACTAATGTTAGGTCAGGGTTATGGGTAAATGTCAGGGTTTGCCATGAATACTTAAAAACTAAAAGCAGTAAGAGTCACTATGAATGCCAATGTGTGGGTGCGTGTCTGGGTGTGTGTACCGGATATATATGAAGAAAAAGATGGACTCGAATTCGTCTGAGTCTCTGATATTTCTGCATAAGAGCCACGATGAAGGAGCAGGTCTTCGTAGTGTTTCCGGGTACAAAGTCTACCTCCGTCAGATCCAACAGGAACTGAGGGTTCTGCCAATACAAGCCTGTACAAAACAAACACACCCTTACTGCTGGATCTCTGCTTTAAGATTAAAGAATAGGGGAAGGAAAATAAAGTTAGTTTAATAGTAAAAATAAAGTAAATTTTACTGGAGTTATTTTCCATTTTATTTCCTTAGGAACATTGTGACGATGACTGAACATGTCCATTTTAATTAGAAGCTCACTGGCTCATCAAAGACTAATAAAACCTGATAAAATGTGCTATTAAAATCAGATGAAAGAGTTTCATCCTCATTCTGAGTTGGTGTTTCTTTTTAATTCATATCACAATGTTTTTCATTTTTGCATCATATATATTTGTCTTTGCATTGCTCTGAACTTCCATATCGTTGCATTTTAAACCATGTTTTTCTCCCACGCTGTTTATATTTGATCACTGCTGCACTTTATGAAATGGAAATGTTCATTTCATGGCTAAGCTGCTGCTCATTCACTGCCTGAAAGGTGTAAATGAATACAAACACCTGCTCCATAAATTAAATAGTTATCAGTTTATGTCACAAAGTTATTCTTGGGATTAAAAGCAAAGGTAATGAAACAAGTAGTATGAAATAATATAAAAACAAGTGTTTTTATATTTATAAAAGGTCTGTATCATACAAAAATTAATTTGACTTTGCAGTAAGTGGCTTTCTACTGAGTTGATTACAAAAATAAAATAAAACTATATTTAATAACAAATACTCTGCAGTTTAACGACAATATTTCTTAATATGTGCATATAGTTGGAAGGTTTTAAAACATGACACTTTAAAGAAAAGGCTTTAATGTTCTTTATAAATGAGATCAGACTTTCACATGGAGCTACAGTCCAGTTTTTGATCTGGATCTAGAGGGACGAAGGGTAGACAGACAGTATGAAGTGTTTGGCTCCAAAGAATCAGTAAACCAGATAAGAGATTTTTACCAGAGATTTAGGAGGGAACACACCTCCAGCAAAAGAAAAATAAACCTGCCTCAACTCGAAGTCAGCTTGATGGCCAATACAAACAAATCAGCCTGAAGGGTTTCATAAAGCTCTTTTCTCAAATGTCACACTGCTGCACATATTCAAACAATTCAAATAAAAGCAAAGAACAAAAAATGGATGCATGCTTTGGAGTACATGGATTTTCACAAAGCAAATCAGTTCAGATGTTGACTTCTTGCTAATAAATCCCCTAAATTACAGCCCACTGAGCAAAAATTGGTTGAAAAGACATTCTAAAGATTACTTGATTTACGTCCAAACAACGTCTACATTTGGTTGAAAAGTGAAAGAAAAAAAGCCGTAATTTCCAGATTGTTGAAAAGACGTTGAAAACTGGGTTTGAAAAGTCTTCTTAGCATCTATTATTGGACTAAAGAGGGACAAAATCAGACCAATCAAACACAGACCAATTTTCAATGATGAGTTTTGGACTAAATCAGACTATGGAGGACCGACCAGATTTATCCTAAAAACCAGTGTCTAAATGACATCTGGCATTTGGGGGGGTCTGTAATCCCTTTGGGTCTATTTTAAGTCATGAAGGGAAAACATATATAACTGTTTTCAGTCACTCCTTCAGCTCTTCTGGGGATAAAAGTCCACCTCTGGTTTCATGTTCATTACAGAACTGTCTAAACCTAAACCCTGGATTTTAACTCAACATCGTCGGCAGCCATATTTAGTGGGGCTTTCTAACACTAATGCTTTTTAAGATCATCTAACCTAAAGAAAAAGCAATGATTTTATTATGCAGCTAAACTTTCTGATTACAACACCATACAATCTTCCCTACAGCATTCAACAAATAGCATAAAATACCATAAAACATAAAACTCTCTGTTATTTTTTTTTTATACAGTGTTACATAGATAAATTGATATTTGTTTACTGTACATTTCTTTACAAGGTCTCATTTTATATTTTTCAAATACGTGATCGCTTTATAGATTTTGCAATCTTGTTTCCCTCATATATATATCGTTTTTTTTTTTTATTGATGTCTATTTTTACACTAAAAATTGTTGCCATTAAACATAAAAAGAACATAATTCAGCTCATTTATCTCTTCATTTGTTGATATTATGCTACGGGGGAACTCTTAAACGGGGGTAAGTCTTATACGGTAAACAAATATTCTGTTAAATGTAGAATGAGCCATATAATGGATATATTATCTTCTTTTCATACATTATTTATCCAGTATTTATTTTGGATAAAATTTAGGTGAGGCTCAAAACCTTTGATATTAGCTCTGTTTTATCACCTCTTAATCAGACATGGTGACATTTACAGTAGTGCCACTTGAAAATAATCCTTTAATGCCTTTCTGTCATATATAAACTCTTTTAAAGTGACACTTTATAACTTTGGAGATGTACTGCTTTATATTATTTAATTTTAGGTGGAAATTGCGGCTGAAACGCTCTGGGCTTAATGGGTAAAAAAAAAAAGAAACCTTCTTTCTGGTTCACAGTTCACAACAACTCTCTTTGTCACGATAAGTCCTTAGAGGTTTGTGACTAAAATGTGTTTCTTCCTCAGATTAAAAATATATATTAATACTCTTACTGCTTTTATGAGATCCTCCTGCTGAGATGTTTGGTACCCAATCGCCGTGATGCATGACGCAGTTCCACGGCTTCACGCCGGCGCCGGGCTCGCCCAGAGCCTGCGTCAGGTGACACACCTCCACCATATCAAAGTTTAGCTGGAAGTCGAACACGGACATCCTAGCAGAGGCAGAAACCATCACAGTGAATTGCTTTTAGAGGTCTAACAGGCATTCAGACAGATTTGAAGGAGCTTCAGTGCGTTTATGGAGCTCCTCTGTGAGGAAAATGAGGGTAAAAAGCCACATTGTGCCTCATGTTAGTGAAGAGAGACCATGAAGGCGTTGGTAAAACTCACCAGAACTCCCCGTCCTCCCGTCTGACTCTGTTCAGTCGGCTCTGCTCCTCTGGGCTCACTGTCCTCCATTCTCCGCTGGAACAAGACAGCACACAGAAACACTCAGAATATGGAAAATCCGGCTTCTTAAGAGAAATATCAGAAGAAATGAGTCTAGAAAATAAACTCATTTTATTCTCTTTTTCTTTCTCAAAATAGAATCTGCAGTTCTTGTTAAAGAGAAAACAGAACGCTGTCAGGGACCTGAGAAAATAAAAATAAAATCTCTGAGAAGTTACATTTCCAATTTCTTTCTCATCAGTGGATCTTTTTCCTCTTATACTTTTTATTATAATGATACGTTGTTGTATTTCCTTCCCCTGCGTGGCGCTTTGGTCGCCTTATGAGATGTCGAACCGCTTTATAAATCCAGCTTTCGTGGATAAAATGTTTTGCATTGTTTGTTGAAGCAGTGATCAGTTTTGTCCCTTAATGCTGGTTTTCTGTAGTCCTTTAATCAATGCTGTCTGTTTATCTTATTAAATCCTGTCTGTTCCACAAAAATCTGGCCTTCAGTCCTTCATCATGGAAATTTAGAAAAGAACAGATTTTTCTAAAGTTGATAAAATCGTAGCAAAATAATAAGTTAGTTTGTTTCTGTTATGCCTTCCTCTTGTTGTGACATTAACACTCCAAGCCAGAAAATAGATGTTTATGAGCACCAAAGTTATTTTTATGAGAAGCATTTATATAACGAAATAAATTATTAGGATATATGAAGGAAATCTTGACAGAATAAAACAATTATTCTTGTTAAAGTTCTTAACGATAAAAAAATCTTTACTTAGAAATGGACTAAACAGTTTTCAGTTGTTTTGGTCACTGATGTTCTTTAAAATAATATGCAAATAGTTAAATGAGTCATCACCCAGAAAGTCTGACTTTATCAGGTTAAAACATGTGTTGGTTTCAGGCTTCAAATAAAACCTGTCAGAAAATCTGCAGTGTGAAAGTGGCTTGGGTTTTTTTTTTGCGTGACATTAACAGTAATCCTGGAAGGGTGCTACCATTAGCCCACATTGCTATCACCACGCCCGTCTTCATTTTATCAAAAGAGGCGATTCTAACATTGACAGACTCACCTACAGGCAGCGGTTACTGTAAATGCTGCTGCTTGTGTAATCATTGACCTATTGTGTAAGAAACCACAAAACAAACCACGGCTGGCTACCAATGTAGCTACATCCACAATGTTCTCTTAAGAAAAAAAGGTTTATTAAAAGTGGTCCGAATAAGATGCTTTTTATATTTCCTCTTGCATTTGATTAAACAGGAATTCAAAGTTTAAATTAGGAAATTGTATAAGTAATATACCAGGTTATGACTCCTTTAATTGATTTTATAGAAATTAATGTATGGTTAGATGAGTCGACTCTGGTAGCATTTTGTGGGTCAGGGTCAATAGAAAAGGGGAATCTCTGTGAAAAATTTATTTCATAACTGACGGGAATATAAAAAAAGTTTTATTTTTCCTATAGCTAAACATAGAATCTGTGTTATTATTACTATTACTACTATTAATATTATTATTTGTATTTTTTCTGATGAGATTCTTACATTGATTACCTGACAAACCTTTATATATAAAAGTCAGTTTTACTTATTTCTTTATTTATTCTTTAGTATTTTTAGTTATTTTCCCTTATTTAAGCTAAAATAAACATCAGTTTGCATCCAGCTGAGGATTTCCAGCACTTTTTTTCCACGTTCAAATTCAGGTTTATCTTTCCAATCTGAATCCAGTTTGTTTTATTTAAATTGTGTTTACAAAACAAACGCTGTAACAACTTTATATAATAAAGTTAAGAAAGTGCGCCAGAGGTGCATTGATGGAGGTTGTAAATTTTAAAACAATAATTACATCACAAACCTTTATGTGATTTTTAAAAAAATTTTTTTATTTAACTTAAAAAAGAAGAATCAATCAAATATTGTTGGCGAAAAGTTCAAACTATGATTTTTCCGTCTCAAAGGAAGGTAATCAACCGACTTCCTGATCAAGGAAAAACAAATGATAGTTTTTAATGTTCAGATTATAGGATCGATGATGTGGAAGATTAATTTAGTATCAAGTGAAGTCAAGTGAATTTTGACGGAGCATCTTGTTTTAACAAAACCATTCTACTTGTTGTTGCACTGACCTGTTTATGTCACTCCATGGTCCCGTCCACTCCGTGTTGCCCCATGGATTCAGGATTCGCACCAAATCTACAAACCCATTGCTTGTGTTGACCTGCAGGGGTAAGAGAAGATGTTTGGGTCTGTTTGTATGTTAGCAGAGAACGTTTTTATTTTCAACTTAAAGCTGAAAAGGTCACTGCAGATTATTCAAGAAATGCAGTTTCTTCACACAAGACTAGTTTTGACATCTTAATTTCAGATAATCCCTCCTTTTTTTGTTCCAAGAAAATTACCCTCTCGACTGCGGTCATTGAGTAAGCATGTTTGAACAAGATTCCCAGCTCGTTCTTCTGTTCCAGAGGACCCTGAGGGGAAGACAACATCAACCGTGATCAGAAAGGAGGAGGAAACATTACAGTTCAACAGATTTCTACGTATTCTGTATAAAAAAGGAAGTAAATTTAGATAGAAATGCATTTCCATTTACTAAACGCAAAAACAATAGGAGACAGAAAACTATTCTTTTATTTTTTACTCTCAAATCTACATCAGCTAAGATGATTTGAATTTAAACAATTCAGGAAAGCCCCAATAAATATGGCAGTTTCTGATTTGTAACATTTGCGGCAAATGGAGGCACATCTATGGAGGTACCTTAATACACCACAAGCAAAGTGCTTCATTGTGTGACATCATAGAAAAACATAAATCATGCAATATATCAGGAAGACCATTTCTGTTTCACAGAGATCACTTGTTTCGAAGCTAAATAGGAATCTGGTGCAAGTGAGTTAATATTTACAGTAAAACTATTTCTGTACCAGTGTGGGCTGAAAGGCCGCTCAGAGAAGAAGAAGCCATAGCTCCAAAACAAACATTAAACATTGGATCCCTGTTTACAAAACTATTCAGGGAGAAAAACATTCCAATTTTGGATAGATCAGCAACCTTGACAACATAAAATCCTAAATGTGAAGTGAGGCGGTGGCAGTATCGTGATGTGGGTGTGTCCCTGCAGGAGGGACTGGTGCACTTTTCACACAAAATGTGGAGAACAGCATCTCAAGATCTCAGCCATGAGGTTGAAGCCTGGGCACAAATGGGTCTTCAGGATGATGTTGGGGATTCCAGTCTGCAGATCAAGGTATCAAACCAGTAACCACAGATAAAAACCCTCCACCTGCTTACCTTTCCGTTGGCACAGTTGATTAGCGCCCCTTTGGCCAGCAGGTTTCTCAGGAGTTCTGGCAGGTTCATGGACACCAAGGGGAGGTTAAAAACCTCAGTCACTCCTCCCGTCATGTCCACCATGGCTTCATGAGGGTAACCCATTTCCAGAGCTCTGTAGCCTCCTTTCAGTCTGACAAAGAAAACAAAGTCAGAAACAAATACCTCTAACTACCTTAGATGAACGGTAAACTTCTTTTTTAATGTGTCTGATAGGTGAAGAATTGATTTCTATTGTGTTTTTTTCTCCTTTAAAAATTACACAAATATTGTGGAAGGGGATAAGGAAAGTCTTTTTTATATATATCCTTTCTGTAATCTAATAATTCATGTTTTTTACAATTATCTACTATTGTTGTAAAACATCTGAAACCAAAACCCAGAAAATTTAAAACAAAAATTAGGAATTTTCCATATACTCTCTGCCCACATTTCAACAAGGACTCACTTGGCATAGGCTTTCTCCAGCAGAGAGCTCCAAAACTCGTTTCTTTCAGGGGAGCTGAGGTAGACCAGCTTGTTGCCTAGCGTTGGCAGCAAGTCATCGACCCGCACCTCCTCCCACTCCCCATACTGCCAAAACTACACAGAGAGATGTTTGTGCCACAGAAACATTAGAAACAAGTCCAACACTTTGGCAGAATTGTGTATTTTATACTCTTTACCAAAGGTCTACCATTTGAAAACAACTCTAACTAGAAAAAGCTGTTTCGGAGAAACAGCAAGTGGGAATGCTTTTGCTGAATGAAAAAAGCTGAAATTACCTGCATAACATATGAAAATGTGATAGGAAGTCATCAGAAACTTCAAACTGCAGAAAACAATTGAATCATCTGAAGATTTTGTAGGGTAGAATCATTTGGCAGTAAAATGGCAGAAACAAACTCATCTTAAAATCTGCACAGCCAAACCATACATGATATAAAAAAATGTCTTGAATGTGGGCACTAGAAGGGTCTTAATATAATGTCTCCCACGTTTCTAGAAAAATGTATAAAGAAATTTTGAAGGGGGGTTTACCTACTTTCCAGAAACATGTCAGGCGTGTTATGAATTACCAGCAAACAGAAAAGCTTAATTCCTGTCCAGAAACAGAGCAGAATGAAGCCAAAGTTCACAACATAGGCTGAAAAGTATGAAATTAGCCGAAGTAGAAAAGAAATTACAAAGAAAAACTTTAATCTTATCTGGTTGAAGAAAAAATTAGTAGCTTAAGGATGGGAAGTAAAATGTTGAGGACGATGGTATTGAATAAGTCTTAACATTTTGAAATCATATGTGGAAATGTCAAGACTTGGCAAAACAATTGGAAAATTATTTAAAATGTGTCGGTTGATCAGCATAAAGAAAACAGTGTCATCCTTAGAGGATTGAAAATCTACAAACCTATGTGCAAGACTGACCATGAGAAGCAGAGGAAGGACAGAGAGAGAAGCTTATAGAAAGAGAGTTAATACCACTTAAGGAGCTGAATTTATAAAAAAAAAACTAACCTGCATGTTACGAGCCGCTGCAGTGATGAAAGCACCGTTGGCAGGCTTAGGCTGCATGTTATGAGGTTAGCAGATGCTGTATCTCAGTGTAAATCTTAGAACCTGGTTAAGAAATATGCTCTGAGGTCTGTGGTCAACAGGCCTTGGTAGTGTAATTTGAAGAAATTGGTTGAATTTGGGTCATAGCTACAAGCCACACGGCACAATGAATGAGTGTGTGTAAGGAAGAGGCTTTTATTTTGTAGGTTCCCTTTAGTCTTATTTTGAAAGTCTATCATGGATGTGTGTCAAGGGAAGGGTCATGCCCAGCAGTTATATAGAATCCATTTCTAAATATGAAATCACTGGTTTTCCATGTCATTGGGTGAATAGATGCTGTATTAGAGCGTAAATGGGAGACTTTTATTGTGAACCTCACTCCGGGGTATGTTTTGAAAAGGTCCCTAGAGTCTAATAGAAACAAACTGGTAGAGTTTGGGTCATAATGCTGATCCAATTGCATCAATTAATACGCGTGTATAATATAGAGGCTTTTATTTTGTAGGGTCACTGGAGTCTTATTTTGAAAGTCTAGCAGTAGTGTGTTGAGAAAAGGGTCAGACCCAGCAGTGATACTTGATGACTTTCCAATCATTAAATCACTCTTTCCCCTGTTATTAGGGCAGTAGATGAAGTGAAAATGGGAGGCTTTTATTTTGAAATTTGCTGTGGGGTGTGTTTTGAAAAACCCCTAGTCTCATTTTTTTTAAAAGTGGTTGAGTTTGGGTCATAATGTTGAGCCATATGCTGGGAAAAAAAATATGAGTTTAATGTAGGGGCTTTTATTTTGAAGGGTCCCCGGAGTCTTATTTTGAAAGTCTATCAGGGTTGCGTGTGAAGGGAAGGGTCATGGCCAGTAGTCATATTGTATCCACTTCCTAATGTTAAATCAGTGTTGTCTCCCTCCATTAGATTAAAATGTGCTGTTTAAAGTGGTGGAGGTAAAATCTCTTTGAAGCACGGTTACCTTGACGACGTTAACGAGCCTGTCAGTGACAGAGAGACATGCGCATCACTTTCGTTCCTTAGTTCTCAGGCTTTTTTGAATGGGAATATCAGCTTCGAACAAACCAGTGCTGAAGACAAACCGTAAATGGTATCTAAAAAAATTTTTCAGTCTAAGCGAGAGCTATCCTTTGTCTCCAATTGGGGTAACGTTCATGGCTGTAGCTCATTCACAGCCTTAATGGGAAGGAGAAATATAAAGGTTTATAAATCCTGCTGGTCTCATTAAATAACATGGAGTCCCATGGTAGAGCAGAGCTCTCAAAAGCAAAACTTTCCCTCCGAACAAACGAGCGGTGAGCCAAAACCGTAAAAGGTATTCAAAAAATTATTTCACAGTGAGCGTCAGCCATCTTTGGACTACAACTGGTGTAACTTTCATATTTCTACAATATTTCGTCTAGGCGTGGTGACGATGTAAAAAAGTGTATAATTGTCAAAATCTTGATTTTGAGGTTCGGACAGATTTGTTACCCCCGAACAAACCTTTTTCCTGGCTAAACGATAAAAGATATCGACACACTTCCTTCAATGTGAGTGCTAGGAAGGTCTGAGGAACAACTTCCACAAGGCTCATGTTGCTACGTCTAACGGTTCCCAAATGGGAGCGATACGAAAAAGTCTGTTGTTTTGAATTTTCAGTTCGGATTTTCAGAGAGCTCTCATTGGATTTCTATTGGAGAAGTGTGGACTTCTTCGTGGTCTGGGCCAACCTGTCGGAAAACCGTAAATGCCACACAAATGAGGGTTACATTTCCCGAATCCTGACAAAAATCCCTACGTTTTGATGTAAAATTTATCTAGATAGGGTAAAAAATGAGCGAGTGACTTGAAGCTGTTCGGCATGAGTGAAATGTTTGAAAACGCTAGGGTGGCACACTCTAGCAGCTGAACATTCCGTCCATAGACTTCCATTATAAATTTGAAAATTTATAAAAATTGTTTAAAAGTTTGAAGCTTCACTGAAGCAAAACTGTAAAAGTTAGCAAAAAGCTGAGATAAATAGTAATAGCAGAAAGATACAGAAACATTTTAAAAGTTGAATGGTGTTTCTAGCTGAAAGTATGCTGAAGTAGTTAAAGGGCAAAGTAGCTGAAGATTTTGTGGAATTTTTGAGGTTTTACATGCATTTCAATGGGACAGAAAAAGTCATGAAAAGCTAAATATTTCAAAAAGTATAATAGCTGAAGTTACCAAAAGATATAGCAGGATGGACCAGAAAAAGCTGAACGTTTTGATACCAAATTTTTTGAAATCGGCTGAAGTATGGGGAACTAGTTAGAGACGGAAAAACGTACGGAAAGTATAATAATAACTAGAAAAAGCTGTTTCGCAGAAACAGCAAAGTGGGAATGCTTTTTTTGCTGAACGAAATAATAAAAATTAGCAAAAGAAACTGCAAGAAGGAAAAGAAGCACAAATTAGCTGAGGAACATATGAACATGTGATAGGAAGTCTTCAGAAACTTCAAACTGCAGAAAACAATTGAATCATCTGAAGATTTTGTAGGGTAGAATCATATGGCAGCAAAATGGCAGAAACAGACTCATCTTAAAAGCTGCAGAGCCAAACCATACATGATATCAAAAAATGTCTTAAATGTGGGCACTAGAAGGGTCTAAATGTAATGTCTCCCAAGTTTCTAGAAAAAGTTCTAAAGAAATTTTTAAGGGGGGGCATCTACTTTCCAGAAACATGTCAGATGAATTAGCAGCAAACAGAAAAGCTTAATTCCTGTCCAGAAAGAGAGCAGAATGAAGCCAAAGTTCACAACATAGGCTGAAAAGTATGAAATTAGCTGAATTAGAAAAGAAATTACAAAGAAAAACTTGAATCTTATCTGGTTGAAGAAAAAAGTAGTAGCTTAAGGATGGGAAGTAAAATGTTGAGGAAGATGCTATTGAATAAGTATCAAAATTTTGAAATCATATGTGGAAATGTCAAGACTTGGCAAAAAAATTTGAAATGATTTAAAATGTGTTGGTTGATCAGCATAGAGAAAACAGTGTCATCCTTAGAGGATTGAAAATCTAAAAACCTATGTGCAAGACTGACCATGAGAAGCAGAGTAAGGATAGAGAGAGAAGCTTATAGAAAGAGAGCCAATACCACTTAAGGAGCTGAATTTATCAAAAAAACTTAGGCTGCATGTTACGAGGTTAGCAGATGCTTTATTACAGTGTAAATCTTAGAACCTGATTAAGAAATATGCACTGAGGTGTGTGGTCAACAGGCCTTGGTAGTGTATTTTGAAGAAATTGGTTGAGTTTGGGTCATAGCTACGAGCCATACGGCACAATGAATGAGTGTGTGTAAGGAAGAGGCTTTTATTTTTTAGAGTTCCTTTAGTCTTATTTCAAAAGTCCATCATGTATGTGTGTCAAGGGAAGGGTCATGCCCAGCAGTGATATAGCATCCATTTCTAAATATGAAATCACTGGTTTTCCATGTTATTGGGTGAATAGATGCTGTATTAGAGCGTAAATGGGAGACTTTTATTGTGAAATTCACTCTGGGGTATGTTTTGAAAAGGTTCCTAGAGTCTAATAGAAACAAGCTGGTAGAGTTTGGGTCATAATGCTGAGCCATTTGCATCAATTACTGCACGAGTATAACATAGAGGCTTTTATTTTGTAGGGTCACTGGAGTCTTATTTTGAAAGTCTAGCAGGGTTGTGTGTTGAGAAAAGGGTCAGACCCAGCAATGATACTTGATGACTTTCCAATCATTAAATCACTCTTTTCCATTGTTATTAGGACAGGAGATGAAGTGGCAGTGGGAGGCTTTTATTTTGAAATTTGCTGTGGGGTGTGTTTTGAAAACCCCCTTTAAGTGTAATTAAAAAAAAAGTGGTTGAGTTTGGGTCATAATGTTGAGCCATATGCTAGGAAAAAAATATGAGTTTAATGTAGGAGCTTTTATTTTGAAGGGTCCCCGGAGTCTTATTTTGAAAGTCTATCAGGGTTGTGTGTGAAGGGAAGGGTCATGGCCAGTAGTCATATTGTATCCACTTCCTAATGTTAAATCAGTGTTGTCTCCCTCCAT